GCAGGACTTTAGTTTGAAACAAGTATTCTTGAGAATGATCGTTTGAGTTCTGAAATGCTTTGTATAGTGTGGTTAAGTATTTAAGACACTAGTTTGTTTTCAGTCAAGTTAGCTAAAGTTTTATTAACATGTCATGTTCAGTTTAACATTTCATGGCCTGTAAGTAGCTCAATTGTTTCAGTATTGATATCCAGCTTTGCCTTGCTTGTGTGTGTCTAAGCAGCCAAAGCTCAAGAAGGCCTTCAGTTTAATTTTGGGCCTGATGAGTTAATTTGTTTGATGCGAGGCCCAAAAATGACCAGATTTGGTTTTCTTTAGTTTTGGGCCTAATTTCAGGCCCAAGAGTCATCTGCCTCAGCTCTTTTCTTTTTTTCCCTTTTGCCCTAAAAAATGGCTTGTGATGTAGAGCTCATCATATGGCTTGGCCTATTTCTGGCCCAACTAAGCCGCTAGGATGGGCTGGCTTTCCATTCCAAGTCGTGGGCTCAACCTCAAATCCAGCCCAATGTATTTTTGTCAAATCATCAGCTGGTCCACAGTTGGTTTAATCTTGTTTAATGTAATTGGGCCCGTTAATTTATCTCAATGCTTTAGATTAATTTTTGAGTTAGATTAATCAAGGACTTTATAATCCTCTAATTGAACGTAGTTCTTTTCTTTAAAATAGAGTGAGGTGTTCCATCCACAATTAAATCACCCATGGCCCTCACAAATATTGTAATTAGATATTAAAAATAAATATTCGTAGAAAAGCCTTTAGGCGCGTTTAAAATACTATTGTGGTTGTGTACACGTTCGCGTGACATAATTACGATTCTAAAAACCAATTCGGAGTATGCGTTCGCGCAACTTCGACCAACTTTTTCAATAATAAAATTATTATTAATATAGTCCTCTTTAATTAAATGTAGTTCTTTAGGCCGAGGTGTGCCATCCATAATTGAATCCCTATGGCCCTCGTTAATTTTATAACTTAGATATTAAAAATGAATGTTCGTAGTTCGCTTTAGGCACGTTTAATATACCATCGTTGTTGTGTACACGTTTGCGTGACATAATTACGATTCTAAAAACAAAACCGGAGTATGCGTTCGCGCAACTTCTCAAAATACTATCATTATTATGCGTAATATGATATAATGTGCAATTCTTCTACTATTATTTCTTAAGGGCGTGCAAAATCTATTGCGGACAAGTAAAATTAAGTAAACGGGAAAAAATAATTTATTTACTTTTTACCGTCCTACGTGGCGGCCATATAATTAATACTCCCTCCGTTTCATATTAAATGAGGTAGTTTGACTCGGCACGGAGTTTAAGAAAAAGAAGAAACTTTTTAAACTTGTGGTCTTAAAAGCCTATGGGGTAAAAGGTTTGTGGGGTCATGCCATTTGTGTGGCTATAAAAGCTTCTCTTAAAGGGCAAAAAGGGTAAAATGAAGAGTTTGAAGTTGAATTATTTCCAAATTTAAAAATGTATCATTGTTTACCCTGGAATCCGGATAACAATTGAATTTATATGGGGTTTTAAGGATCCGTGAACTAAAAGATACAAAAGGTTTGGATTGAGGAAAATAAAAGATAAAGACTCAACAATTGCTGTTAAAGTAAATAATCGCAGAATATAATATTGCTTAGAACAATTGTGCTTGATAGCGTACAAGAATTGAGAGAGATGGTACTGTAGTGTAATGGTTTCCGATCCCCTCTTTATGGGGTCTTCTCCCCTTTTATACATTCTGATTAAGGGTAAAAATAAGGTAGGTAAATTAATTACATCGTGGATCCCTGTAATTACGCCTTAATGGCCTGAAGTGGTTGAGAAAATCACGTTTGGGCGAGATATCCAGCGACGCTTGGTTATCCGTTACGAGTCCGGCTTCCGACCTTGTGTGTTTCTCCATCCGGTGGTGACTCATATCGAGCTCTACAACGGTCTCGAAATGACTCGACCTCGGTTGTTGACGTGGCCGTCGTTCTACCTTGCATCCAGGTCGGGTTCGATGGCCCCGACTTGCCCCGGACCGGACCCAACCCGGTCGGGCTCAAGCAAAAAGGGTNNCACGTCATTGCCCCCTTGGACAAGGTTTCTCCAAACTTTTTCAACAAAACTGACTCGATTTCATCATCTTCGAGGTCGTTTCCCTTAATCGCGCATGTGTATGCTGTCACATGCTCGTTTGGGTCCGAGGTCCCATTATACTTCGGGATATCGGGCATTCTAAATTTCTTAGGGATAGGTTTTGGGGCGGCACTGGATGGGAACGGTTTTTGTACAAACTTTTTAGCGTCAAGGCCTTTCAGGACCGGAGGTGCACCTGGTATTTGGTCGACCCTGGAGTTGTATGTTTCTACTTTTTTATTGTTGGCCTCGATCTTTTCCTCCCCCTTTTCGATTCGTTCGGTCAATTCTTCTAGCCTCCTAAGAACCGCAGAATCAGCATCCGGCCCACCCCGTTCCGGCTGTACTGGGGTCGGATTGATGATTGCAGCTGCACGGGGAGCCTCCTCGGACCTGACAGGCTCCTGGACCCGGCTCTGGAGCTGAGCTATAGCCGATTGCTGGGCTTGCAGCATGTCAAAAATCATTTTAAGGTTGATAGTCTCTTCGCCGACTGCCTGGGCCCTCGAATCGTCCTCTCCCCGGACGCTATGTGATGATCCGGAGGCCTGATCAGTGTTGAGCGCCATCCGGGAATCGGCATCTATCGGGTTTTCGAGCCCGGGCATTCCATTGTTTCCTGTCTGCTGTTCAAGTTCGTTGTTGATTGATTGTGCCATTCTATGAGTTGGTAATTTGAATGTAAGATGGACTCTTTTGCAAAGAACCAGTGTATTGTGATGCGTCAAGAAAGAGTATCAAAGAGCTCACTAATATCCTTAGCCCCACGGTGGGCGCCAAACTGTTTACCCTGGAATCCGGATAACAATTGAATTTATATGGGGTTTTAAGGATCCGTGAACTAAAAGATACAAAAGGTTTGGATTGAGGAAAATAAAAGATAAAGACTCAACAATTGTTGCTAAAGTAAATAATCGCAGAATATAATATTGCTTAGAACAATTGTGCTTGATAGCGTACAAGAATTGAGAGAGATGGTACCGTAGTGTAATGGTTTCCGATCCCCTCTTTATGGGGTCTTCTCCCCTTTTATACATTCTGATTAAGGGTAAAAATAAGGTAGGTAAATTAATTACATCGTTGATCCCTGTAATTACGCCTTAATGGCCTGAAGTGGTTGAGAAAATCACGTTTGGGCGAGATATCCAGCGACGCTTGGTTATCCGTTACGAGTCCGGCTTCCGACCTTGTGTGTTTCTCCATCCGGTGGTGACTCATATCGAGCTCTGCAACGGTCTCGAAATGACTCGACCTCGGTTGTTGACGTGGCCGTCGTTCTACCTTGCATCCAGGTCGGGTTCGATGGCCCCGACTTGCCCCGGACCGGACCCAACCCGGTCGGGCTCAAGCAAAAAGGGTATCACCCAATACAAGGTGCTATTGAAAGTTTCATCAGAAAAAACTTGCCTTTTGGCTTCAAACTCCAGGACCATACCTCGACTGCATGTAATCACAAATAAAAAAAATTTAGAACAAAGAAACCTTGTCCTAGTTAAATTGTTGAAAAGAAAATGAAAATGAGAACTTACTCATGAGTAAAGACATCTGCAACCAGAATAGCACAGATGCAAGCATAATCATTGATTACTTTCTAGGATGAAAATTGGGAAAGATAGAAGCTTGATCAAGAAGCACTTCATCAGCTTGTTCTTCAAGCCAGGAAATGAAAACTTTATGAACAATCATCCTAACCAGATCAACTTCCACAAATCTGGTTGGAAATACAAAAAGATATCACCAACCAATTTCAGAGGATATAAAAGATGTTGTACAACAACAACAACAACATCCCAGTATAATCCCACAAGTGGGGTCTGGATATAAAAGATGTTGTACATTATACAAAATATGTATATTCAAATGAGTAGTGGGAAGAGGCAAACTGAATAAACTTGAGAGAATACAAAAAGATATCTCATTCAAATGCCTTTCTTTAATCCATCTTTATTGCATAATCAAAAGCACATTAAAAACTTTAAGATTGAGAATTCCAAACGATTGAATTAGACTTGTATTACACTATTTATGTCTAATTATTTATTAGAATACACATTTACATTTTTGTACAAAAATATTATTCGAGTATAGTTTAAGTGAAGGGGTAGAAAGATAATTCAACTTTTGATGGATATTTTGGTAATTCAATTTCTACTTTAGAGCTTCCCATTTATAATATAGTATGGTGATGATATACTGATGTCTAAAAGGCATGCACAGCTGGAATTTCCGAAGCATTTAAAATCATTTCCATATATTATATCAACAATAATCTATTACTGCTTTGTAATTAGCATTTATTCAACACTTAGTTTGCCTACCAAGGTTTTAGGAAAAAAATAAGGCGAGAGTGCAATGACATGTTTCATGTTTGGCTATTTTCAAGTGGTTATTCTGGAGCCTTATAGCCCGTTTGGCCAAGCTGCAAATATCAGTTTATTTTGAGAAGTATTTTTTCTCAAAAGTGCTTTTCTCAAAAGTACTTTTGGTGAGAAGCCGTTTGTGTTTGGCTAATTAATTTGAAAAGCACTTCTGAGCAGCAATTAGTGTTTGGCCAAGCTTTAAAAAACTGCTTCTAAGTGTATTTTTCTCACAAGTGCTTTTAAAAAAAGTGCTTTTGGAGAGAAGCTATTTTTTTCTGCTTCTCCTCAAAAGCACTTTTTTCCCTTTCAAAAGTTTGGCCAAACACTTTAATTTTAGAAAAAAACCACTTTTGCCTCGAAAGAAGCTTGGCCAAACATGCTACTTTAAGACAGACATAAGAGAAAATTACTCTATGGTTACTGTATGTTTTGTTCGTGGCATTTCATCCGTGATTTAAGTGTAAAGTCAGCTGTCAGAATAACTCTAAGAATGGCGTTGATTTTTTTCCGCATGAGCAGCAACTTAGATCCTCCATTGCTTCTACCTTTTATGCAAATGTTGGAATAGAGGAAGATGAGATCTTCGTCTCTGATGGTGCCAAAAGTGATATATCTCGGCTTCAGGTTTGGTTTTCTCTTTATCAAGTGGTCTTTTCAAATTATAGCCGCTGTCTTTGAGTCTTTCACTAACAGTTTTTTGTATTTCTTGACTGTATCTTAGGTTCTTTTTGGGTCTAATGTCACTATGGCTGTGCAAGACCCATCGTATCCGGTAAAATTTTCAGGCTTTTACCTATATTCTTCCATGTTTGACAAAAAATGAAAAATGCCCATCCAGGATACCTGCATATTGTTGATTTGCTGTCTATTTTGTTAAATGATTTTTCATATCATTGTGAGATTTAAGTGAAGTGGTACTTGTTTATAACTTAGCACGAACTTTTATACTCTTGTATAGGCTATTGATACATCTTTTATACTCCTGTTATTTGTTAGGCTCTTTATAGTCTGTTGGAGTATTCTTGCTTTCTTTACCACTCTTTGGAGAAAGGCTCTCATATCTGATGATGTGTGTAAGATTCTGATGTAAGCCTTGATTGTTGTTGTAAGCCTTGATTGTTGTTTCTACTGTAGGCTTATGTGGATTCAAGTGTTATTATGGGCCAAACTGGTCAGTTTCAGAAGGATGTGGAGAAGTATGGGAGTATTGCATACATGAGATGTACTCCAGAAAATGGGTTCTTTCCTGATTTATCCAGTGTTCCTCGGACAGATATTATATTTTTCTGTTCGCCTAATAATCCAACTGGTGCTGCGGCATCAAGGGAGCAGCTGACTAAATTGGTGCATTTTGCTAAAAACAATGGCTCAATCCTTGTTTATGATTCTGCATATGCAATGTATATATGTGATGACAGTCCAAAGTCCATCTTTGAGATTCCTGGAGCAAAAGAGGTAAGTCTGGATCATTTTATTTGGTCAACATTAAGCTTTACATTCTTTTCTAGTGAAAGCTTCTGCTATCATTTGTTCAGACCCTGTTTTTAGATGACTAAAGCTCATGATGTCCGCATATCACTTTGTTTGGTTGCTCTTTTTAATCCCATAACAACCATACATCAATCCTCAGCTAGTTAGGGTCGGCATATGCGGTCTCACTATTGATTTCGCTCTATCTGGACCTGTTTCATTCTGGTATTCATTAATTTCCTATTGATTAGTTGCATGAATCGTTTGCATATGGTGGCTAAACTTGCAATATACTCTTACTTATTCTAAAATTGTTATTCTCTAGTGCTCTCCATAGTTCAGACTTTCGGTTAACAACACCCTCACTAGTTTTGTCAGTTAATATCATTTGCAATTAACATACTAGGGGATCCAAAATGTAGTGTTAGGGCTATACGCTCTAGTCCTTACATGTCTATTTTCCTCTTCAGTGAACTGTCTAAAAACGGACCACAACTTGAAAAGTTTCCATCTTGGCTTGCTTCAGAAAGGATAGAAAAGATAGTGAGAAAGTAGAATACCATTGCAAAAAGCGAAGACCTCATCCTGTATGCTACAACTTGAAAAGTTTCCATCTTGGCTTGCTTCAGAAAGGATAGAAAAGATAGTGAGAAAGTAGAATGCCATTGCAAATAGCGAAGACCTCATCCTGTATGCTATCGGTTAGCTCATCCATAGTGAGGATAAACAAGTATAGGCTCAATGCAGATCTTCATGGTTATGGAAAACTCTTTTGTATCTCCTACCACTATTCTCACGCTTGTGCGGCTCTTTCATATATATCCTTTATGACTTTTTTATATTTTTATATGGATTCCTTTCTTCTCCTACAGTCTCTTTCTAATCTTTACTGTGGAAAAATAACATGAGCAGTCTGTTCAATTGAAGATTTTTAGCTCGTTTATTATCATTCATGCAATTCGTTGGGACCTTTCCTTCTAATTCATGTTCTTGTCCTGCTCCTTCATTGTCTTTTGCCATAGTTGAAGCTCATCAAACTAGTTTGTAAGTGGTCTTCCAAGTCATCTTCTTTCCCTGTTCTTTTTGATGAAGTAAGAGAATTTCATTAAAAGCATCAAGAAGATGCATAGCAAAAGAGAATACAAGTAAATTGAGTGTGTCTGCTCACAAACAAAAACAAAAATAAACCTATGTTAAAACTAAGGAGCAGACACAGTCCAAAAAATGATCACAACTAGATACAGGTGCCTGATTAAGCCAAGTAAAAAGGTTCAATAAACATTTAGCTTTAAGAGCATGATTTGGAGTTGATATCCCATCAAAACATCTGCTATTCCTTTCGGTCCATATACACCAGAAAATAGAAGCGGGGATCAGGAGCCAAGTTTTTTTGATGGATTTGCCAACTCTCCAAGAGCATCAGCTTTCGTAGGCCTCTTTAATACTATTAGGCATGACCCAGGCTAGTCCAAAAATTGAGAAAAACATACTCCACAAATCTGCTGCAACTGCACAATGGGGAAAAAGATGCCTCACACTCTCTGCCTTCATCTGACACATGTAGCACCTATTCACTATGTAGATGTTCCTTCGACTTAGATTATCTTGAGTAAGACATGCTTCATATAAGGTTATCCAAGTGAAGCCAATTACTTTAGGTGGAAGTTTAGTTCTCCAGATGAGTTTCCATGGCCAGTTGTCAATCAATTCCTTGTTCGAGCACAAATGTGCATAACCTTTCTTGACAGTGAATATCCCATCATGTTGGCCATCCNGGTTCTGGCGCAGGTTCATCAGATCTAGCGGGGCTCGCAGACGAGCTTGGTCTAGAAGGAACACTTTGTGAAGTTTTCGCCATTTCTTGAAGCTTTACGAAGAGATGAAAAGAAAATACAACCAACGCAAAATTTGAGAAAGATAAGAAATGTTGAACCTGGAAGGGTCGTTTATACTTTTCCCATGAGGCGGTGGCACGAATCGCGAAGTTACAGACACGAAGCGACAGATAATTAAGAGAAGCATTAAATGCCTGCAGCAGACGTGGTCAGAGCACTCGATGGCTTTTTCAGCTGGCGTATGGCCATACGTCACGGGCATCACGTCACCGATCATATCGTTTATTATCATTACTCTCTAATAAACGAGGGGACTATCTGTATTGGGTGATACCCTTTTTGCTTGAGCCCGACCGGGTTGGGTCCGGTCCGGGGCAAGTCGGGGCCATCGAACCCGACCTGGATGCAAGGTAGAACGACAGCCACGTCAACAACCGAGGTCGAGTCATTTCGAGACCGTTGTAGAGCTCGATATGAGTCACCACCGGATGGAGAAACACACAAATTCCCGGAGTGTCTCGTTTATGCGCTGTCGGACCTTGAATAGGTCGGATTTCCTTGTTTCTACCCTGATCGCCCCGGCGTGAGCTTTCACGAAGGCATCGGCTAACATGGCGAACGAATCGATGGAATTTGGCGGTAAGTTATGATACCACGTCATTGACCCCTTGGACAAGGTTTCTCCAAACTTTTTCAACAAAACTGACTCGATTTCATCATCTTCGAGGTCGTTTCCCTTAATCGCGCATGTGTATGCTGTCACATGCTCGTTTGGGTCCGAGGTCCCATTATACTTCGGGATATCGGGCATTCTAAATTTCTTAGGGATAGGTTTTGGGGCGGCACTGGATGGGAACGGTTTTTGTACAAACTTTTTAGCGTCAAGGCCTTTCAGGACCGGAGGTGCACCTGGTATTTGGTCGACCCTGGAGTTGTATGTTTCTACGTTTTTTATCGATGGCCTCGATCTTTTCCTCCCCCTTTTCGATTCGTTCGGTCAATTCTTCTAGCCTCCTAAGAACCGCAGAATCAGCATCCGGCCCACCCCGTTCCGGCTGTACTGGGGTCGGATTGATGATTGCAGCTGCACGGGGAGCCTCCTCGGACCTGACAGGCTCCTGGACCCGGCTCTGGAGCTGAGCTATAGCCGATTGCTGGGCTTGCAGCATGTCAAAAATCATTTTAAGGTTGATAGTCTCTTCGCCGACTNTTCTCAATGTTATACCTCCAATGCCACTTCATTAGCATGCTCTTGTTGTGCAATGCTAGGTCTTTTATGTCCAATCCTCCATGTTCCTTTGGCAGAATCACTCTTGGCCATTTCACCACATGAAATTTGTTGTTTTGACTATTCCCTTCCAACAGAAAGTTTCTTCTAATTTTGTCTAGCCTTTTCTGCACCCTAGCTGGTATAGGAAATAGGGACATGAAGTATGTTGGTATGCTGTCTAGGACACTGTTAATGAGTGTTATTCTGCCCCCTAGTGAAAGATACTGCATTTGCTAAGTTTCAAGCCTTTTTTCGAATTTCTCTACTATCCCATTCCAGATATCTAGTGACTTGACTTTGGCTCCAAGTGGTAGACCCAAATATGTTGTGGGAAAAGTTCCCACATTGCAACCCATTAGCTCTGCTAGCTCCTCTATATTTGGGACTGTGTTTACAGGGTAAATAGTGCTCTTCAATCTGTTCATTTGGAGGCCGGATATAGCTTCAAAAATCATGAGTGTGAGATTAAGATAGAGCACTTGCGACCTATCAGCTCCACAGAAAATAAGCGTGTCATCTGCATACAAGAGATTAGAGACACTAATTGAGTTCCCAACAGAATTTTCCACCTTGAAACCCTCCAACCAGTGTATTTGGTTTGCTTTGTCAAGCATTTTGATAAGGCCTTCCATTGCCAAAATGAACAAAAAGGGTGAGACAGGATCCCCTTGTCTCAATCCTTTCTGTGGGGAGAAGAACCCAACAGGACCTCCATTGACAAGAACTGAATACTTCACAGTTGTTACACAAAACTTGATCCACCTGATCCAACCTGCACCAAACCCCATCTTCCTAAGTATATTGAATAGGTAACACCAGTTTAGCTGGTCAAAGGCCTTTTCAATATCAAGTTTGAAAAGGAGACCTGGTTTCCCTGATTTCTGTCTCCAGTCTAGTACCTCATTAGCAATTAGTGCAGCATGTTATTTGTCTTGTTTTGATGAATGCATTTTGATGCCCTGAGACTAGCTTCCCAATCACTCTTTTCAGTCTTTCTGCTAGGATTTTGGAGGCAGTCTTGTATACACTTCCAATTAAGCTGATAGGTCTATAGTCCTTGAGTTCTATTGCACCTTTCTTCTTGGGAATCAGTGCAATAAAAAAGGCGTTGCATGACTTGACCATCTGGCCATTCTGGTGAAAGTGTTGGAGTGCTCCCATTAAATCTTCTTTCCCTGTTCTTCAGTGGCACTCTGTAGTAAGGTTATCTCAAGTCTATTATCCAAGTGCTTTTATCCCCTGGTTAATTGCAGGGACTTTCTTCTGATCCTTCTTGCTCCCTCGCATGTCTTTTTCAGTTACAGAGCTTCTTAGAGAGTCGTCATATTTCAGTTAGACTTTTTGTGCTGCTTTTTCTCCTTACCTCTGTGGTCTACAGAGTTTATTGCATGATTCTCTACATTAATAAGTGGATTTATTTCTCAGTAAGCATATTGTACTGGACTTGCAGGTTGCCATTGAAGTTTCATCGTTTTCGAAGTATGCTGGGTTCACTGGAGTTCGTTTAGGGTGGACTGCAATTCCCAAAGCACTCCTATATTCTGATGGATTTCCTGTAGCAAAAGACTTCAATCGCATTGTTTGTACAAGCTTCAATGGTGCATCCAATATCGCTCAAGCTGGCGGTCTGGCTTGCCTTTCACCTGATGGTTTCAAGGTCAGTTTCAACATTTGCTTGTAGTTTCCCTGTTCACTTAATCAAAAATAACATCATTTAATAGGCCCAAGTTCTCTGCTTGAACATGTTGACTTTGCATCACAGGCCATGAAGAACGTGGTTAGTTTCTATAAAGAAAACACAGAAATCATAATGGAGACATTTAAGTCGCTAGGTTACAAGGTGTATGGAGGTAAAAATGCACCCTACGTGTGGGTTCACTTCCCTGGACGAAGCTCATGGGAGGTTTTCAGTGAGATACTTGAGAAGACTCATGTCGTTACCACACCAGGCAGTGGTTTTGGACCTGGCGGTGAAGGTTTTGTCAGAGTAAGTGCATTTGGGCACAGGGATAATGTCGTAGAAGCTTCCAGAAGATTCAAGGAATTGTACAAGTGAAGTAACTCGTACGCCTGCATGTCTATGTGAAAACATGCAGGTAAATTGGAAACACTTTTGGCCGCCTTCAGAGGCTTCATTCAGATGCTATAGGCTGTATCTTGAATGCTCAAACATTTTGATCCTGTATGGAATTTGTTGCTTTGGAAGAATAAGCTTATTCTGTGATTGCCAGTGATTGGTTCCTCTTTGTTATCTCTTGTCAAGATTAGATTCTTCATATACAGTTATACGCATAATGGACACTGATCATGAATTTAAAGGGAAGGAATAGTTGAAACAAAATAACAGGTTTTCACGTGTTGAAATTGATAATATTTGAGCAAACAGGCCGGAGCGAAGTACGAATGTTAAAGTACAAAGTACAAACCACCAAAAGCATGAATTGCCAGCTTTTCATATTAGATTTCTGGAGGCCTTTCTGCAAAAAATATATACTATAAAATAAGGGATAGGGAGTTGATTATAGTAACTAATAAAATTCGAACTTTAAATAAGTTAAATATGAAACCAGCAATATTGACTCTTGAAGCTAAAGAATATCACTATTTTGAACCCATTTAACTGAACTAAATCATCAAATAAGGGAAGGTTGAAAATAATAGTGAGAATAAAACAGAATTAGTAATCAAAGCTTTTGTTTAGGAAAAGCAAATAAGTAGAAGTAGGCGTGCAAAATACAGATGTAAGAAGCCATTTTATGTTGAGGACAGTAAATATAAGTTACTATAATGTAAGAAGCCATTTTATGTTGAGGACAGAAAAATAAATATAAAATATAATGCCCCACGCAGGATAGTCCAAGTAAGTATGTCCTCTTACCTCTGTATTTTTCCAGATCTGGTTTAATATGAAGTCATGACTATTTTCCTTCATCTTTCATTGTTGTTTGGATTCTGTGTATTGTAGTAATAATTTGATTTCATAAATGAAGAGCATAGTGTGCGGGATGCTAAACTTGATATCAATATGTTATTTAGCCTTTTTGGGGCTTGCTGAGGCTAGAAAATCTTTGTTTGGTCCCTTGTTTTAAGTGTGAGTTTATACACTGTCATCTTAAGAAATATGGCTGTCCCAGCTGTTTTTTACGTACAAGAATTTCAACTGAATTAGTACTCCCTTTGCAAGGGTGCTTGAAAAATGCCTATGTGGAGAAAGCGGAAACATGTAGTCTCTCTGATGTAAAATAGCTCAACAAGAACAAGTACGCCTTCCTGTGACGTTAGAAAACTTAAGATATTTGGCACTTAGAAAGGTTTTATTTAGTTTTCTTGTTTTGTAGAAAATGGACTTCTGCATAGTCATTCTTTAGTTTGTTCAGCTATATTTCTACTCAGCAAGGTCGCATTGAAAAAAGATCTCGTTTAGTTGTTGCCTGTGACTTTTGTGGTCTGTGTTAACTGGATGGTTACCCCTTACCATATTATCATTTGATAAGAATTATAGGGTAACGTTGAGTTTTTAAAAAAAAAAAATAATAACGTCAAAATATGATATAGCCTCGAAATGGTGTTGTATGGGTTTAGTGCAGAATTGTGTGAAAAGATGATTATATTGCTTTGATAATTGTCAAGTTCTTTGCGGCATTGAAATGGGGTCAATTGTTTAAGCACACTACAGTATAGTTGTTGTTTAAATAATAGTAGGCCATTTAAACAATTTACCAAACCATTGTCAGTTATGTAACGAGAATTCCTTAGATAACTTAAGACTTTTGGAAAGTTTTCTTTTTGTCTTTTCCTTTCGTTTGTTTTGTTTTTGTTGTGATATATATATATATATATATATATATATATATATATATATATATATATATATATATATATATATATATATATATATTAGCAATTAGCTTCGATTAGCTCTCATATACCTATCAAAAATAATCATGAACATCCGTAGTTTGCTTTAGTTGAGTACAATCTTTTGAAATAAATTGAGGCGTGCCATCCACAAATGAATTCCATAATCTATGGCCCTCACATTAATACCAAAACTAGTGTGGAAAATACTTTGAACATTCGTAACTAGTATAGAAAATATCACAAACATCGTAGCTTGCTTTAGGCGCGATTAATAACAAATCGTGACTATGGGTACGGTTCCCGTGGCATAGTCATGATACCTAATTCTCAAATTCGGGTGTGCATTTCATGTGACTCGATCATAACAACTTCGAACAATAATAAAAATAAACATGTTGTAAATCGCGGATGATTTCATGTGACGCGGTTCGCAATGTGTATCAAATAAACAAGTGTACGACAATCGTAACTTGTTCCAGAATAATTCCATAAAATAATTAAAAGCGGCTATAAAGTTAAAAATGCACAATAATTTTATCCGGATAACACTTTAGACAAAATAGGGGAGGTTCGCTTTTTCTTTCTCGGCGCATCTTAGCGTGATAAACTAAAGTGCGCCATCAGCCATGGGAGGAAGAGGCAAACCTAAGAAAAACGTAACGAAGATCCAATTAGTTGAATTCATAGCATCAACAAGTAGGAATGGTGATTCAAGCAAGGCCACGCCAGTTCAAGGAACTCAAAATCGCGAAAAGGAGATGATTACACCAAAGGCGGGGGAGAATTCAAAATCGGCAACGACGAGTACAAATAGGAACTTGAATTCACAATACATGACCAAACAGGCTGAAATTCAACAGATCGAGGTACAGAATTCGAATAACATGGATAGTAAAAAAGGCTTAAGAAACACATGCAGCTGAATCTCACAACGAGAAGCAACCAATTGCAATTGAAGCTAGTACAGAGAAGGCTAAGGATGGAAAATCCTGGGCAAATCTGGTTGCTGGGAACACCTTTGCCGCTAGAGGAATGGGATTATCGTTTGTGGCACCAACAATTCAAAATGGAGAAAAAAGTTGTTGAATTGCAAGAGGATCAAATTGAAAAGGAAACTGAGAAGTGAAAAATGGCAGTTATTCTGTATGTAGTTGGAGATATACCAAGTATTGAAGCTATAGAGAGGTTCATTGCATCACAATGGAACTTCGTATCTAGGCCGAAAGTGTACTACCATAATGATGGTTTCTTTGTGGTAAAATTCAGAAATGAAGAAGAGAGAAATGAGGTATTATACTCAGGGCCATGCACAATCAACAACAAGCCGATAACTACTAAGGTGTGGACAGCAGACTTTGATTTCAATGAAGAGGTTCTGAAAACATTACCATTGTGGGTTAAACTACCAAATTTGCCACTGAATTGTTGGGGAATGGACTCATTGAGCCGGATAGGGAGTGGATTGGGAATCCAGTATATGCCGATGAGTGTACAACAAAAGTAGAAAGGATATCCTATGCCAGATTCTTGTGGAAATGGACATCACAAAACCATTGCCAACAAGAATACTAGTTAAGGATCCGAGCGGCAGGCAATTTGAACAATCAGCTACTTATGATTGGAAGCCTATGTACTGTAACACTTGCTTGCAACTAGGACATAACTGTCAAATCAAACAAATACAACAACAGATGAATAAGCAGCAGAAACAGAAGCAGGAATGGAAACCAAATGAGCAGGGGAATCAAGGATTTACAAAAGATGAGAATCAAGCATCAACAGGGAATGCAGAACTAATAAACAAAAAATACAATACGCAGGAAACAACAATTGAGGAGGATGAAGGGTGGCAAGCAGCAAAGGGGAAATAAGCCACAAAAAACACTCAAGCAGCATCAACAAGAGGAGTTGAAGTGGGTAATGGATTTAATGTTCTTAATAACTCATGCTCTATTACACAAAGTACTATGATAAGCAGGGGTGATAGAGGACAATGTAGTCATGGGGGAGGTATGAAGGAAGGGATACCATACAATATATCTAAATGTAGTTAGTTAGTTGGAATGTTAGAGGACTAAATAAAGTGCACAAGCAAAAGGAGATGCAGAGGTATATTAAAGAACATAATATCAGTATTATGGCTATTATAGAACATAGAGTACAAGAAAAGTTTTCGCCAAAATTCATACAAAAAATAGCTCCTACATGGGAATGGTGTGCAAACTATGATGGTGGAGGAAAGGGTAGAGTGTGGGTTATCTGGGATCCAAATGAAATCAGATTTTCTGTGAAGGAAACAAAAACTCAGTACATTCATGGAGAAGTAGTTCAGCTGGATACAAATCTAGAATTTACATTTACAGCCATCTATGGGCTGCATACAATAGAGGCAAGCAAAAGTTTATGGAAGGACTTAATAAACTGGAGCCAATATCAGACAAAGCCTTGGCTATGCATGGGTGACTACAATACTATTCTGGCAGTGGAAAATACAATAAATGGTACCTCAGTTCAAGAAAATGAAATTAAAGGCTTCAAATAATTCTTAACAAATACAGGAATGTGTGAGATGAGAACAGTGGGGAGGGATTACACATGGACTAACTCACATGTGTTAAGTAGAATAGACAGGGCAATAGTAAATGCAGAATGGGTAACTAACATGCCACAAGTAGATGCTGTGATTATGAATCCTCTCTTCTCGGATCATTCCCCTTTGTGTGTTAAGCTTGGGGAAGAACCAAAGACCTCAAAGCCCTTTAGGTTCTTCAACTGTCTAGCTGAGCACAAGGATTTTCTTCCAGTAGTGACAGAAGCATAGAATAAATCATCACAAGCAGGAAATATGGCAGGAATCTGGAGGAAATTGAAAGATGTGAGAAGAGAATTAAAATGGCTGAATACAAATGAATTCCAAGCAGTAGATTTGAGGGTTAAAAATGCTAGACAAAAGCTACAGGAAGTTCAACAACAGATGAGAACTACAAGCATATCATCACAAAAGTTTGAAGAAGAGAAAGAACTGAAACAGCAGCTAGAGAAATGGACTACTATAGAAGAAAGCATCTATAAACAGAAATCTAGAAATCAGTGGCTGAAGTTGGGAGATTCTAATACTGCATTCTTCTTTGCCAGCATGATGAACAAAATAAGCCACAATAAGATCAGGAGCTTGAAGACTAATGATGGAGAAATAATTCAGTTTGGGAGTGCAATAGAAAAGGAAATAGTGGAATTCTATAAAGGGCTATTAGGATCTACAGCTGATATCATACCAGCCATACAACCAGCTATTATGAAGGAGGGCAATGTACTAGATAGGAGGCAACAATTGAAGCTAATAGAACCTGTTACTGTAGAGGAAATTCAAAATTCTCTAAAAGGGATAGA